CCTGATGGACAATCCCATGCCAGAGCTCCCTGTCGGCCATCACCACACCAGCCCCTTCAGAGTCAAGCCAGTCACTTCAAGGATACCATCCTTCCATCTTGTCATTGGTCGCCCCTCTTCCTTTTTCCTTCTATTTTCCCCAGCATCATTCTCTTCTCCAAGCTTTCCTGTCTTCTCATTGTGTGGCCAAAGTAGTTCATCTTTGCCTCTAATATCCTTCCCTCCAATGAGCAGTAAGGCTTTATTTCCTGAAGTATGGACTGGTTGGATCTTCTTGCTGTCCAACGCACTCTCAGAATTTTCCTCCAACATCACAGTTCAAAACCATCTATCTTCCTTCGCTCAGCCTTCCTTATGGTCCAGCTCTCACATCCATAGGTTACTACGGGGAATACTATTGCTTTAACTATGCAGATGTTCGTTGCTAGTGTGATGTCTCTACTCTTAACTATTTTATCGAGATTGGTCATTTTTTACCTCCCGATTGGAAGGTAAAAACATTTCCCCTAGATTAGGTGAGACCAAGTAGGGAGTTGGAGAGACAGTAAAGCAAATGGTGCAAGTGGCAATGAATATGAAGCAAGTGAGGAGCATACTGCAAGGGCATAAAGCAATGGTGCACAACATGTGAAAATCACAGACAAGAGGACTACAGAAAACTAAAAAAAACTTTATTAAATTAAATTAAAAATGCATAAGATGTATGTAATGTATTTTTTGTGTTTTAAATATGGTGACAGTATTAAGAGCTCAGGGGCCTAGATATATTTGTGGGTTTTCTTCTTTTGTGCTGCTCCTGTGCCATTAACTCCTGGAAATGTGGAGAGCTGACTGTACATCTCTGGGTTTAAAATGGAAGAAGGAACTATAATGCAAGTCAACAAAATCAAACTTTTTGCAATAATCAGAAATGAAAGTAGCACGGTTTGAATACATTTTTATACTGATTTTAAATATGTCCTTTTTCCATCACGTCAACTTTTTAAGATATGATGAATGGCACATTACAACAGACTACCATAAAATGTGCACATTTCACATCATATTTGTGTATCACAAGCCAACAAGTATTTTTCATCAGATATAATTTGAGGTCATTCTTATAGAATTTTTTGCACTGAATTCAGATCTAGGTTTATTTTTTCTCTATCACGTGTACTTTTTGCGATGAGGCTAATCGAATAATTAATGGATTACACACTGATATCAATAGAATCTAATTAACCATAAGACAGCAAGTATTTGTCATTCGTTATTATTTTAGGTCATTCTTAGAGAGTTTTTTGTGCTGAATTCAGATCTATATTTTTTTCTCTATCACGTGTAGTTTTTTGCAATCAGGTTAATCGAACAATTAATGCGTTTATGCACTGATATCAGTTAGCTTGTGTAATAATAGGTTGTACACAAGGTAGAATCTAATGTTGACTAATTTGAGGGTGTTAATATTTTTAGCTGACTGCGTGCATGAAGCACAATTTTTTTTCTCAACTATATTTTGAATATCCCCTTATTTTTCTTTTCACATTGTGTGAAGAATCTTGTGTCATTAGACAGTTGTTTTATTTGTATTTTAAAATTTTCATTTCAAACTTTTGCTAAATCGTTTTTTTCCTGCAGGGTACAAAATATGGCATTAGGTATGTCCCTAATAAAGAAAGCCCATTTCATCTCTTTTGTGAGCACAGCACAACATTTTTTTAAAGAATGAACTTCAAAGTGTACACCTTTTCCCTTTGTTTGGAAACAAATTTCTTTGGAGATAAATAGCACTTTGTTTTTCTTTTTTCTTTAAAAAAAGCTTTTCTAGCTTATCTTTGTTTTCCTTCTTTTTCTTTTTTATAAAAAAGCTTTCCTAGCTTATTTGTAAGTACCACTATATATTGTACAAAGGAAGTGTGTAGTAGTTTAGTTACTCTGGGCTCAAAGCTAGAATAGATAACCTATCATTTTCTTCACTTCAGATCTTCACTTAAAAGAATTCTATTCACTGTAGTTTGAAAGAAAGCATATGGTTTGAAGTCTAGATGGAAGAAGGGATGTAAAGATGTATTTGCAACTTTTCTTAAGCCTTGGCCTAAAGGTATCTTAATACAGAGGTGCTATCAAAAAACTGGCAAGTGACACAAGACTTTTCAAGCAATGTGAGAAAAGAAAATTAAGATTATTTGGCATCTGTACAAAGCAGAATACAGCATAGCAATGCAATACGACATGGTGATAGAAAGCAGTAGAAAATACCCTTGAAAGGTTTATTGTTTCAGGAAATCCATCTTGATATAGGAAAGGAGATGGATCAATTAAGTTTACCTACATTTCAGTAGAATAGCCCCTAAGATGGCCTGATGGATGCTTCCTTTCCAGAGATAGAGAGATAAAGTATTAACTAACTTTTGGAAGAAGGAAGAAATGAGCACTGCAAAGCAAAGTATGAAGGTTTGAGATCAATGAAAGAAACAGTGAAGTGTCTTGTTTTGGTTTAGATGATAAGAAGCTTTTATTTTACAAAATAAAAAAGTGAATTGTTAACTGTGGTTTTTTTTAATCGTCTAATTTGTTGAGAGGTGTGAAGCTTGAGCTGTACATATGAGGAAAGGGCATGAAGGCTGTAGCTTCTGTGTTTCTCGTGCCCAGTTTCTCAAAAGTTTGGAAAGCCCCAGAGCATCATCTTACCACTGCTCAATTATGGATGACTTCAACTTGGCATTACATTAATTGTGGTTATAAGTAGCTCTCCAAGGTCTGCCAATTCCTTTCACTTCCAAGGGATGGCAAAGATTATGTGTTTTGAATTGTTGGAAAGTGATAATTGTTGGAAAGTGAAAGACAAGGTAGCTCTTAGGGATGGTTCAAAAGTAATTACAAAAAAGGGTGGTATTTCTAAAGTATAGTTAATGAAAAAATCATTACTATAACTAGAGTAACAAAATTTTGTTGCTATTTCATTACAGTAATTCTGCATAAATTACTATAATTGGGGAAATTTCAGGGGCTTCTTTCTCCCTCATTTTTAAAGCTATTGGGGTGAAACTTGCTACAATGGTAGAACACATTTACCACTGATAGCCTGCCAAATTTCAACATTTAGGAGATTGTTGTCCACTTTGCTCTTGTCTGCTTTGGGAGATGGTGTGTCTGCTTTGCTCTTGTCCGCTTTGAGGAATTTTTTGTTAGTTGATTTTGTATGGATTTTATCCCTGATATGTTTGGCTACATAAAGAGAGAGAGAGAGAGCAAGAGAAGGAGGGAGGCTGGAAAGGGTACTTCTGCCTCCTAACTTTGTGTTTCCATCCCACAGCTTTGTACTTCTACCATTTTAAAGTTGATCTTTCTTTTGTATTGTTCCATGTGAATGTGCAGGTTCTGCCTTGCTGTTACACTGACCACACACATTTTGTTGCCTCAAATGTGCTTCCTTGCCACAATTTGTGCTGCTACCATTTGAAAGTTGCTCTTTTTTTGTATTGTTCCATGTGAATATGCATTTATACTTTATTTGTTATTTATATTTTCTTATTTCAAAACATGTAAAAAAGTTTGTGGGGTGGGCAGAAGTGATTAATATCATTTCAATGCATTTCAATGGGAAAATGTTCTTTGAGATAAAAGCATTTTGAGTTAAAAGTTTGGTCACAGGACAAATTAAAGTCTTAAGTCAAGGTATCACTGTGTCTCTCTGTGTGTATGGCCATGTATTTTAACTGTATTGCATGCTGCCTTGAGTCACAAGGCAGGTAAAGAAGAAGAAGAAGAAGAGAAGGAAGAGGAAGAAGAAGACATGTAGGGAGTGAGAAAAACCCATTTAGGGATATTATTATACATGCCTTCATTGCCTCCTCCTGTAACTATAGAACCATATTAAAAACAGTTTAAAAAAAAAAGATTCTATCCGACACTACAATTACATCATTTTGATTAAGATGGAGGTGGGATCAAGAGAAGGACCTCTCCTGAAGATCTTAGGGTCCAGACAGGTTCAAACAAGGGGATGCGATCCTTGGCACGCAAATGAACAGATTAATGCAAAATATTGAGTGCCACTCAGGAATAGAATTGTTTTAGGCAAGTTAGAATTTTATTGAATTGAGAGGTAACATTTTTTAAACAGTTTCCCTCATGCTACGTAAATATGCCAAAATCACATGTAATTCAACAATAATGAATTGAATTTTTTGAAAATGGAATGCTAGGTTACATACTGTACAATAAATGTACTTTTTCAAGGTATGGTTACTATAGTAGAAAAAGAATGTCAGTTTTGAAGGCACCCTACAAAACATACACTTTATACAATTATATCTTACCTTTTCTAACCAAATTTAAATTTGCATTCAGGATACCAATAAAATGAACACAATTCAGATTTGGAGACATATTTGAAATACTCCTCCCAAGCAGCTGATGGGTTTGGTAGAGTTTGGGATAGCTGAATGGACTGCATTAAGACTTTTTTTAATGCTCCTCCATATTTAAACCAAAGCAAAACAAAGCCCAAACCTGCACACAGAAAACTAATACACAAGGGAGTATGGTTCAAGCTCAATCCTCTCTTTCCAGTGTTTTTAAAAAACGATTTGAAGGTTTTAAATTAATAATAAGGAAGCATGAAAATGTTATGCCTAACTATAGTCTATAATGGTATTGTCCACTTAATCATCTTGTCAACCAATCAATGAGAAGAAAATCAACAATGACTTTACCTTAGGATTTTTGAGAGAAACTATTAAATTTATATACACGAAAAGGTTTGCTTAAAAACCAAACATTTCTATAATGTCTGTATTCCTGTGCAACTGCCACTTGTTATTATTTGACATGATAAATGTTTACAACAATCTAAGCTTCAAAATCAGTCCAAAATTTGAATGTGCTCATTGCCAGAACAAATAATTCAATAGATCCCTATTTGTCCCATTTTTAACTTACATAGAATTAAAAGGAGGAAATGGACATATAAAATCTCACACAAAATCCAAGAGAAGGGAAATCGGTGTACTCACATGTATCAGGCTTGAGCTGACTGTTTGTGATCCCAAAATACTGGGGGTTTTCAATGACAGGAATCTTTGTCATGCCAATAATCACTGCATCAGGGCCACCCTCAGAAGATGACGGGGTGTTGCTTCCATTGGAGATGTGATGGAGAGGACTTGCCGAGTCGTCGTCATTACTGATAACTGAAGAAGGACCTACAGTTAGAAACAAAGATTCCCCTGTAACTTGACATCATTCTCCCCTCCCTCTACCATCATTTTTGATACTCACCACTGTGACTAAAATGAAATATAATTCAAAACAGTAGCTTTGATAGTGATGTGTCACATCAAGACTCTCAGATGACACTCAATATATCATCTGCACCACCAAGGTATCATAATCATCAAAGACATTGTGTCTCCTGCTTCCTAGGATGGATCTACACTGTAGAAATAATGCAGTTGGATACCACTTTAACTGCCATGGGTAATGCTATGGGATCCTGGGAATTATAGCTACACTTTCTCTGCCAAAGAGTGCTTGTCACCAAACTAGATTCTACAGAACTAAGTCATGGCAAATAAACTGGTGTCAAACTGCATTAATTCTATGGTAGAGATGTATCCATAGTCTTAGCTTCCATTGATGGACCTCTGGCTGAAGTGACACAATAAGGGGCTGTACAAATAACCTTAACCCAATAATACGTAAGTTGCAATGGAGTTATTGAGCATGATGTGGTGATTTGATTGTTGTTGGTCTAGGACAGTGGGCGTCCAGGGTCCGAATCTTTTCTCGAACCTAGAAACCCACTTGGTGACCTTGGGCAAGTCACACACTTTCTGAACCTCAAAAGAAAGCAACAGCAACCTCCTCTGAACAAACCTTGCCAAGAAAACCCTGTGATTGGTTTGCTATAAGTCAGAGATAGTTTGAAGATACACAAAAACTCTTTATGAAGATAGTCCAAATCTCACTGGAGACATGACCATCAACAAAGCCATTTCACTAATTATACATATAATCCACTCCCGATTGAAAACAAACAGACTCTGAATTATCAATTTCCACAGTACCAGTGCAGCAGCAATATCTTCGAAAATTAACACATATTAAATACTACCAATGGAATAGGAATCTTCTCTGAGTTTTAGTCTGAACTTTAAACGAGATAACCAAAGGCTGAAGATATTTTGCAGATAGGAGGCAGTTTCTTTCAAAATTTGGAGTAAAACTAGAAGTGGATCACTGCTGCCTCACTGGCGTGGAAGCTGTCCACACGTTATATGACAGTGTAGATGGGGGCTAAGCTCAACCTATCAGTCTTTCAGATGCAGGAAGCACTTTTTCTTTCTTCAGTCACCAAAAGGATTGAGCACTCAGGGGTTAATCAGAAGCTGAAAAGGAAGAGTTTCTGAATAACTGAAGCCTTAACTGTGTGTTTTGAGATTCTGTGTGTACAAGGTATGCTATCGTAAAACGTCAAAAGAAATTCAAAGAACTTCAAGAGGGGGAAAATCATATTTTCCATCTTATTTTGTTAAAGCAGCTGTTTGCCTTGTGATGCTGATCTTGCATGAATTTCAATATTAGGATGCTACTAGGACAACAAAAAATATGAATTTATCTCGACGGAAAGAACTGTTCTTTATATTTTAATATAAATTTGCTGTGAAGGTCTGAATTCATCTTATGATTACAGCTCAGTAAAGCCCCTTAGATATATAATTTAACAGAGGCACCTTGAAGCATTCTGCAGCTTCAATGTTCTCATTAATATATGAAAATACTTTTATCATATGCTCTTTCCTGTCACATATACATTGGGCAGAAATGCACATTAGACATGGGAGAGTGGCAAAAAATAAGAGTGAAGGGTTTGCCTGCTTTGTATATACACAATTGTCACCCTTACTCTGAGCTGGGAAAATTTAGTTTTTAAACTTCAGCATAATCCCTGGAATCTTTGGTAGTCCAAAAAGTAACATTCCCATATTACTGTCGAACACCATTTCTATATATTTCTTTGAGAACAAGGAGGTGGAGGAGGAAGGAGAAGGGGTGGAAAGAAAAAAAGATGTTTAAAAAGCCAAGTATTTTCCATTACTACATATAGTAGTGTCGTGATCTATTTAAAGTGGTCTATGCATGTATTTTCTTATTCCATACTCACAAAACAATAACTAATTCCTCGGTGAACAACATGTGGAAAGCAAAACATGTTTCATGTTTTATCTTTTACATTTCAGAACTCTTTTTAATAAATTCCAAGCCAAAAACATGGTGTCTTTATGGAAAAGCAAACAATATCTACTGAAATTAGTAAAAGATTTAATTATTGCTGCAAGATGAATGGACTATTTTTTTTATGTCAGGAGCAACTTGAGAAACTGTAAGTTGCTTCTGGTGTGAGAGAATTGGCCATCTGCAAGGACGTTGTCCAGGGGACGTCCGGATGTTTTGGTGTTTTACCATCCTTGTGGGAGGCTTCTCTCATGTCTCCACATGGGGAGCTGGAGCTGGCAGAGAGAGCTCATCCGCTCTCTCTCCAGATTCGAACCTTTGACCTGTCGGTCTTCATCCCTGCTGGCACAAGGGTTTAACCCATTACACCATCGGAGGCTCCTATGGACAAAAATGATTGGCCATTTTTTTGAAAAATGAGTAAATTTGCACATATTCTATTCACTCGTGGTAGGATGTGACTCATCATATTGGTCTCCCAACGGACCATAAAAAAGTGCAAACAATTGTATCGATTTGTATCAACAAATAGGTTTTGTTAGCTTTCATTTTACAAGGAAGTATTTTGTAAACAGAATATATTTTAATTTCCTGTTCAAGATCCAGCCACCTCAAAATATTTCTCACAAGAGTGAGTCTTCATTAGAGTACTGCATATTGTAGGAAAACCTTTCCTGCTTTCTACTTGCCATTGTGAAAGTTACAACGAATCTCAGTGGGAACAGAGATGCTTTAGAGGTCCAGCAGCTGATGACTTGGGGTGCATCTACACTGTAGAATCAATGCAATTTGACACCATTTTAACTGCCATGGCCCAATGCTGTGTAGTTTTACGAGGTCTTTAGTCTTCTCTGCCAAAGAGTACTGATGTCTCATTACAAATTATAAATCCCAAGATGCTATGGCAGTTAAAGCTGCTGGGAGAGATCATCCGGAGTTTGGGAGTTCAATGTCACCTGTACACATATGACATCCAACTCTATCACTGCTTTCTTTACACCTGCTACTAAGGAGGCTGTTCAGGTTCTGAACCGGAACTTGGCAGCTATGACGATCTGGATGAGGGTGAACAAATTGAAACTGAATCCAGACAAGACATAGGTACTCCTGGTCAGTCAGAAGACTGAACAGGGCATAGGGTTACAGCCTGTGCTGAACAGGATTACATTCTTTCTGAAGACACTGGTTTGTAGCTTGGGAATTCTCCTGGATTCATCACTGATCCTGGAACCTCAAGTTTCAGTGGTGACCAGGGGAGCTTTTGCACAATTAAGCTAGACTTGGCCATGGTGGTCCATGCTCTTGTTACATCTCAAATAGACTACTGCAACACACTATATGTGGGGTTGCCTCTGAAGACTGTTCAGAAACTTCAAGTGATCCAATTGGTGGCAGCCAGATTTCTCTCTGGAGTGGCGTACAGAGAGCAAACAACTCCCCTATTACGTCAGCTCCACTGGCTGCCAGTCTGCTATTAAACACAAAAGTGCTGGTTTTAGCCTATAAAGCCCTATATGGTTCTGGCCCAGCTTACCTGTCAGAAGGCATCTCCCTCTATGAACCATCTTAGAGGTTAAGATCTTCTGGGGAGGCCCTGCTCTAGATCCCACCTCCTTCATAGGTACGTTTGGTGAGGACCAGGGACAGGGCCTTTTCAGTAGTGGCCCCACGGCTATGGAACTCCCTCCCCAGCAAAATCAGATTAGCTCTCTCCCTCCTCACCTTCAGAAAGAAATTAAAAACCTGGATGTGGGACCAAGCCTTTGGACAATGAAGTGAAGATTGGAATATTCCAATCACGACTAGAACGGCTCCTGATTTTGGATTGTATGGCTTTTAATAATTGATTTTAAAGTTTATCTGTTTTTTTAATTTTATGTTTTAAATGTATATGTTTATTTTATTATATGTCTGTTTTATGTGGCATTGAATTATTGCGTATTGTAAGGCTGCTATGAGTCCCCTTTTGGGGTGAGAAGGGGACATATGACTCAAGTCATTCACCTTATCTGGACTCTCCTTATATATGTGAGTACCCAATGAACCACTTCATGCATAACAACTCTCCCATTGAGATGAATGTCAGAAAACTTTTGTGCTTCTCTCTGCTGGTTCTGCAGAACTTCCTCCGACAATGCTTTTAATGTAAATAGACAGTGTTTTTACACAGGGGTGCAAACTGCGCTTTTAATCAAAGCTATAATAGATGGCACATGAGTAGCAACAGGGGGAAAATACTGAAACCAAAATAATGGTTACATTGTAATATTTTCAAAGAAGATCATAAAATGCTCCAAATGAAACAGTGACAATGAAGGCGCTGAGTGAGAGCTTTCAGACTCTGTAATACTTATTTTGTTTTCAAGTTGCATTTGTTATGTAATTAACAGATGGCAAGTTTCTGTGTGTCAGAAGACATCTAAATTTACACCTTTTAAAATGCTTGGTTTGTCAATTCCCTTGAGAAATGTGAATAAACTGGTGTACAAACTGTTTTAATACTTGCTTATCTGACAGACCGGCTATTAGGCAGACTGCTCAATCTCATTTCCTTAATGCATGTCAAAATCACACCGCAGTTAAAGGCTAGCATGATAGAGCCAATGCTTAGGCAAACAATCAAATTTATGTGTGGCATTTCAAGAACTCAAACAAATTTTAGAAAAGCAATGTGAAATTGTTTTGTGTGAACTGGGAGAAGATCCCACTGTCCCACCATCTCTTCTTTATGCATGGTGTGAATCCTCGGAAACAATGAGCCATTCTCATATCTGAATTTGACTTAAAGAGAGGGAGGGAAGCTCTTTCTCAGCCCCAGAAAACCCCATTTTAGGGTTGCCATAAGTTGAAACAACTTTAAGGCACACAACAACAAGAACAGCAACAGGGCAGCTCTTTACTTGCCAAAAAGCAAACTCAACTACTTTTCAACACTGGCCATGGACAAGTTACCCTCTCTCACCCTCTG